TGTAGATTGAGTCCTGCCTCATTAACATAACTGCCTCTAATCCTGCCTCATTAACATCATAGAGGTAGGATTTACAACACATAGGAAAATCACATCAGAGGACAAAATGGTGGGCAATCAATCACACAGTACTGGGAAGCATGGCCTAGCCAAGTTGACACACATTTCTAGGAGACACAATTCAATCCATAACACTCTCCTCTGTTATTTTTCTACAAATTTTCTTACAGACCAAGGATTCTTAACCTGGGGTCCACACAGGAGAACATGGGGGAAAAATGCATTTTTATTTTTATATTCTCTAACTGAAATTTAGCATTCTTTCCGCTATGAATGTACACAACAAACCATAAGTAGTATTGTTGTTGTTTGTGCTGTAAAGTTGATTCCGACTCATCGTGACTCTATATGACAGAGCAGAACTGCCCCATAGGGTTTCCTAGGCTGTAATCTTTACGGGAGCAGATCATCAGGTCTTTTTGCTCGTGGAGGTGCTGGTGAGTTCGAACCACCCATCTTTCAGGCTTAACCATTGAGCCATCAGGGCTCCTTATACAAGTAGTATCAGCACAACTTATAATTTATTACCAAGAGAAATCAGGTAATTTCATACTAATTTACAGCTGTTGTAGATATCTTGAAATATCATTTCACTCATCACTACTTTAAACTGAAGAGCTATTGGAACTGCTGCTACATTGCATGACTGCAGTCTTCCTGCCTGCAGACACTCATGCAACGGAGCTGGGCAACTATCAGGAAATTCTGCACCTAACAGTCATTCAGCCATCAAACAGTAGAAGTTACGTGATCTCACAAACTGGGGACCAACATATCTACGCTGCTTTCCAGGATTTTCTATCTGCAGTATTCTCTGCCAACTTGAAAAGAGATATCTGTCAACACCTGAAAAGGTTTATAACTCTTTCAAATGTATTTCCATCACAATAGCATTGAAGTTAAACCATGAATTTAAACCATATCATAGACGTTGACCCAGCAAAGATAAATGCATTGATCTTAAGACAAAAAAGGGACTATGACTGAAGTTAAATTTTAAAAGCATTGGAGAATTCTAGTTGTCCTTAAGAGAAGTTTATCCTTCCTTGGAAAGCAACTATGAATGTGTATAAGTCTATTTGGAAAAAAATATCTCTGTGAATCAGGATTTTCTACACCAGTAGCCATCAAAACAAAAACTCATAATCAAATGGATGTCTAGCTTGGCACTGTCTTGTTAAACACTACCCTACAGTTTAATGTTCTTAATCAAGCTAGCAACAATAACTGTCACACTGATGTCTTAAAATATAAAATTTAACTTACTTATGACTTAAATGTATTCTTATTATTTAACACATTGATTAAAAAAGACAATTACTATATCACATGTTTTAATGTTTTTGTAACTATACATCAATATAATTGGTTTTTTCTATAATCCTACGCATTATACTTTATGCATTTAAAAACATTATTCTAACAAAAGGTCCATAGGCTTTGGACTGCCGAAGGGCTAAATGGCACAAAAACAAGTCAAGAACCTCTGTCCTACACTCTCAACCAAATTTGACAGCTTTTAAGATAATCAGGGTAATAACCCAATTAACACTCCCTTGTGTCACATGCTGTATCTCACTAGCACCTCTAATTGAATAAAATGGTCACTGGAACCTGAAGAAGACAAGAGTTTTAGCATAAAATAAGGCTATTGATACAGACTAGATTATTCGATTATTTGTGACTTTCTAAAGTGCAAATTGACTGCACTGCCCAGAAACCTTGGAGCCACTCACCATCAGTAGAATGAACATGGGAGCTGCCAATCTGGTCCACTAGCAACATGAAAACGAAGCCTAGCACAAGGGAAACACCGATGTAGGCGTGCAGCTGTGTGTGGTCGTGGCTGTGCTCATGTTCATGGACAACTGGTATTTCTGCTGCTTTGTCTGATGCAATCACATTCTGTGTTTCACTTGTTTGGTGGTGTTTTCCTAGAGCAGAACAAATCATAAAGAGATTTGGCAGTTTCTCAAAAAATTAAACACACAGCTACCATATGACCTAGCAATTCCACTCCTCTGTAGAATTCTACACAAAGAAATTGAAAGCAGGGACTCAAACAGAAGCTTGTACACCAATGTTCTCTGCAGTATTATTCACAACAGCCAAAGGTGCAAACAACTCAAGTGTCCATAAACAGATGAATGGATAAAGAAAATGTGGTATATTCACACAATGGAATATTAGCCATAAAGAGAAATTAAGTTCTGATAATACTATAATGTACATGAATCTTGAAAACATTATGCCGATTGAAATAAGCCAGACACAAAAGAACAAATATTGTATGATCCCACTTACCTGAAATATCAGAATAGGCAAATGCATAGAGATCATGTGGGTATCAGGGTCAGGTGGGAGGGGAAAATGGGAACGTATTGCTTAAGGTGTACTGAGTTTTTGTTAAGGGTGATGAAAAAATCTGGAAACTAATAGCAGTGATGGTTGCACAACATGATGAATGTAATTAATGTCACTGAAGTCTACATATAAAAATAGCTGAAATGTCAAACGTTTTGTTACATATATTTCACCACAATAAAATAAAATTTAAAAAAAATCAGGGGCAATCATTAGATAGAAATCAAAAGCTCAGGGCAGTTTAAAAAAGGCACATTTACCAGTCTAAATTCACTTCTAGAAATATGATGATTGCTGGGAAATTCTGAATTATAGTAAATGAGACCTGGCCAAGTGATGTTACTAGTTTATATTCACATATTCAACACTCAAAACATACATGCTTCAAGGCTAGAGTCCTTATCTTTATTGTGTTTCATGAATAGAGACTAACACATCAGACATCTATTCATTTATAATTAGATGGAGCAATTTTACCTTTTGATCAAAGGAACTGCACAAGCCTGTCTGTAATATTTTGAACGCTGCCCTAATTCTTTAAAAGATAGGAGCACAAAACAAATAAAAATGTACCTATTTTTCTAATTCCTGAAAAATTTTTTGAGCTAAAGATTTTATTTATTATTCATTTGCTTTTTTCCCTGCTTTTTATTTATATGTCTAAATCTCTTTTTAAAATTGTAAAAATTCTTTTATTTTTTATTATGGTGAAATTCACATAACAAATCCCTCTTTTTAAAAAATGAAACTTATTCAGGTAGAGTTTACATATACAATAAAATGCATTCATTTTAAGTATATAGTTCAATGAGTTTTCACAAAAGTAAAAAAAATCCCAGAAGCTACCACTAAGGTCAAGATATAGAACATTTAAAAAAAAAAAAAAAAAAAAACCAAATCCACTGTCAGCGAGTCGATTCCAACTCATAGCAACCCTATAGAACATTTAGACCTACAAAAATGGAAAGACATCCCGTGTTCACGGACTGGAAGACAATATAGCGAAAATGTCAATATTACCTAAAGCAATCTACAGATACAATGCAATCCCGATAAAAATCCCAACGACATTCTTTACTGAAATGGAAAAACTAATGTCCAACTTCATATGGAAAGGAAAGAAACCTTGAATAGCCAAAGCAATACTGAAGAAAAAGAACAAAGCAGGAGGCCCTCACACTCCCTGATATCAAAACATACTATACAACTACTGTAATCAAAACAGCCTAGTATTGGTTCAACGACAGACACATAGACCAGTGGAATAGAACTGAGAACCCAGAACTAAACCCAAACATCTATGGACAACCGATGTTCAACAAGGTCCATTCAGTGGGGCAAAGACAGTCTCATTAATAAACGGTCTGGCGAAAAAACTGGATATCCACCTGCAGAAAACTGAAACAGGACCCATACCCATACACAAAAACTCAAAATAGATCAAAGACCTAAATGTTAAACCTAAAACCATAAAATCCTTGGAAGAAAACATAGGGGGAAAACTATGGGACCTAATCTTTTGCAAAAATAGGATAACAAATAGGGAACCCAAGATCGAGAAGGGAGAGTACTGACATGTCATGTAACCAATGCCATGAAACTATATACTAACTGTTTAATGAGAAGCTAGTTTGTTCGATAAAGCGTCATCCAAAGTTCAATTAAAAAAAAAAAGGATAACAAACATTACAACAAATGCATGAATAGAAGAACACAAAATAAATGAGATCTCATAAAAATTAAAAACTTATGCTCATCAAAAGACATTATCAAAAGAGTATAAAAAGAAAATCTACAGACTGGGAATAAATCTTCAGAAATGACATACCACATAAGGGTCTAATCTTGAAAATTAATAGAAAACTTCAACAATTCAACAACAAAAAGACAAACAACCCAGTTACAAAATGGGCAAGGGACATGAACAGAACCTTCACCAAAGAAGTCACCCAAGCAGCCAACAAACACGTGTAAAGATGCTAAACATCATTAGCCATTAAAAAACAAACAAACCGTTGCTGTCAAGTCGATTCCGACTCATAGCGACCCTAATGGACAGGGTAGAACTGCCCCACAGGGTTTCCAAGGAGCACCTGGTGGATTCGAACTGCTGACCTTTTGTTTAGCAGCTGTAGATCTTAACCACTATACCACCAGGGTTTCCCATTAGCTATTAGACAGATGCAAATCAAAACCACAATGAGATAACCATCTCACCCTGACTAAAACGGCACTGATTAAAAAAACGGGTAACAACAAATGTTAACAAGGATGTGAGGAGACTGGAACCCTTATCCATTACTAGTGGGGCTGTAAAATGGTACAATTGCTACAGAAAATGGTATAATGCTTCCTTAAAAAACTTGAACTACCTTATAATCCAGCAAGGATATACCATAAAGACCCAAAAGTACTGACACAAACAGATATATGCACTCCTATGTTCACTGCAACTTTATTCACAATAGCAAAAAAAATGGAAACAACGAAGTGCTCATCAACGAATGAATGGATAAGCAAACTGTGGTACATACAATGGAATGCTATGCAAACTATAAAGAACGATGAGTCTGCGAAACATGTTATAACATGGACGGGCTTGGAGGGCAAAGTGCTAAGTGAGATACATCAAGCATACGAGGACAAATATTGTTTGATCCCTCTTTTATAAGACAAGAACAGGGAGGGGAGAGGGAAGGGGAAAGTACGCTTCAGACTGTAGAGACTAGTTATTTTTGGTAGTGGGAAGAGCAGCACCAAACGTGTTTATAGTGACCACAGCACAACCAAAGTAAAAACGAGTGTTTGAGCACATATGGATGGGTACAGACACAAAGAGAATGTGGACAAATTTTGATATAAGTGTAACTAATGTTAACGAACAATCTGTGTGGAAATTGTCAAATGAGAACCTAATTTACTGTGTAAACTTTCACCAAAAACTCAAACAAAAAAGAAGTATATAAAAATAAATAAATGAATGATATAGAATACTTAAATTATGCCAAAAAAGTTCTCTTGTGTTTCTTTGAAGTCAATATGTCACCCTTCGCCCCAGGCAAGCACTGATCTGCTTTTTGTCCCTAGAGTTTCCTCTGTTTTAGGATTTCATATAATTGGAATTGTATACTATGTATTCTTTTGTGTAAGGCATCTTTTGCTCAGCATAATGCTTTTGATTTTTTGTTTTTTCCCTACAAAAATTTATACATACATTGTTATGTGACCCTAATTGCTCTCCCCATACCGTGACAGCACACTCCTCCTTTCCACCTAATTCCCCAGGTCCATTCATCCACTTCCTAACCCTCTCTGCCTTCCCTTCTCACCTCCAGACAGAAGCTGCCCATTTAATCTCTTGTATCTACTTAAGCTAAGAGGCACACTCCTTGCAAGCATCACTTTATGTTCCACAGTCCAGTCCAATCCCTGTCTGACGAGTTGGCCTCGGAAACTGTTTTAGTTCTGGGCTGATAGAGAATCCAGGGGCCATGCTTTCCAGGGTTTCTCCAGTCTCAGACCATTAAGTCTGGTCTTCTTACTAGAATTTGAGTTCTGCACCCCACTTTTCTCCTGCTCCATCAGGGACTCTCTGTTGTGTTCCCTGTAAGGGCGCTCATTGGTGGTAGCCAGGCACCATCTAGCTCTTCTGGTCTCAGTCTGATGAAGTCTCTGGTTTATGCGGCCCTTTCTGTCTCTTGGGCTAATACTTCCCTTGTGTCTTCATTCTCCTTTACTTCAGGTGGTTGAGACCAATTGATGCATCTTTGATGGCCACTTGCAAGCTTTTAAGACCCCAGCCGCCACTCACCAAAGTAGGATGCAGAACATTTTCTTAATAAGCTTTGTTATGCCAATTGACCTAGATGTCCCCAGACCCCTACCCCTGCTACTCTGTCCATCAAAGTGTCTGATGGTATTCAGGAAACTTCTTAGCTTTGGTTTAGTCCAGTTGTCAACATAATACTTTTGAGATTTATGCTTTGCATGTTATCAGTAGTTTATTCCTCTTTTTTGATGAGTAGTGTTCCATTATATGGATGTACCAAAATTCGTTTATCCATTCACCTGATGCGTTATTTCCAACTGTGGTCTATTATAAATACAGCTGCTATGGACATTCAGGTGCAAGTCTTTATGTGGATATGTTTTCTTTTCCTTTGGGTAAATACCTAAGAGTGAAATTGATAAGTTTATACATGTTTAATTTTATTTAAAAAACTGACAAACTGTTTTCCAAAGTGGCTGTACCATTTTACATACCCAAAAATAATGTATGAGTTCTAGTTGCTCCATACCATTGTAAATATTTGATATCATGGGCTTTTTAATTTTAAACATTTCTACATACATGATCATGTCATTTGGCCAACATATAGTTTTACTTCTTCTTTCTAATCTTTACACTTTTTATTCTTTTTTTTGGCATTATTGCACTAGCTAGGGTCCCAAGTACAATATTAAATAGAAATGCTAAGAGTAGACAGCCTTGTCTTAGTGTCAGTGTTAGGTATGCTATCTGTAGGTTTCTCAAATATGTCCTTTAACAGGCTAAGAAAGTTTCCTTCTT